ATATAGACAAACTGAAAGCGGATCCCATTGCTTGGGAGATGTTCAAGGAAAAAAAGAGGAAAAGAAAGAAAAACAAAAGGAAAAATTTGACTGAAAAACGGAAGAACAAAACAAGACTAGGACACCATGTACGGCAAGCCCGTTATAGATCCAAAATAAAACAGAAAGATGACAGTTCCAAACCAAAAACATGTGAAACTGTTACAATTAAAAACCAATTGTTCTGAGAACAATTGAAGGTCTTTCCACCCAATACGATATATTTTGATGTTGAAAATAATAAAACTCGGTTAGAAATGTAATTTTCAGTGCCAAATGATAACTAATTGTAAGTTGAATTTAGAAATATATGTTTTCTACACATTTTTGTTTGAAATAAAGGAGATAAGCTGTAACTTCAGGTTTGAAAAAATGTCAATTTCCGTCTCATTTGATAGTTAACTTGACACTGATTCCAAAAATATATGGTTCTATGTACTTTTACAATAAATAAGTACAAAAATTTCTACTTCTGGTTTTCTAAAGGTCATTTCCAGTTGCTTTCTTCAAGGTCAAATGACTTTCAACTTAATGCACAAAGTCCCTTAGGTTAATTATGCATAAATTAAAAGTTAAAGCAAAGATCAATATCTAGAAAGTCAAATCAAGCTTTGACCTTGACCCCAATTTCAAGGTCATGAAACAAGGGTCTTCAATCAAAAGACTCTAGGCATCTACTTCTAGGATAACAAGCCAAAATCAAAATTTTGAACATGACCTTGATTTTTGACCTTGACCTCATTTAAATTTTTTTGGACTAAGGACCTCAAATCAAAAGACCCTAGGTCTCTATAACTTATGGTTTTCCAGTTACAAATACATTTCACGTATATCAAATACAAAAGGGGAAATAACTCTCATATGGAATCTCTAAACGGCTTTGGTCAAAATTATACGAAACATCCTGAGGATATAACGAGCAATTTGGAAAAATAAATTTGTCGGTTTCTTATACGGTTGCGAAGTTTTAGAAATAAGAAGAAAAACAGTGTTCGGGGAGATAACTCTTACATTGAAAAGAATTCGGTTATACAATGTTAGTTTTAAAAGCGTACAAACTGAATGATATCATTTTCCAAATATCTAAGCGACATCTTGCAAAACATCAAAACAGCGAAGGAAAAAAATTAGGTGGAAGGAAAAAAAAATAATCAGAAGAAAAGCAATAGGTCTTTCAACGGAAAAGTAAAAAGACCTATAAATGTTAACTCGAAAAGAAAGAGAGAAAAAGGAAATACTGGAAGGAAAGGCAGAGATCATATCGTTCTAACCATTCAGTTCAGAAAAAAAGAATGAAAATAGAAAAAGATAATCGTTACAGAGCTCGTATCACCAAAATTTCCAAAGTTTTGTTTTTGAATGTTATAAAAATATTCACGCTTTTATTGTGATAATTCAACTTCTCCTGTAGGTCCACCATCTGATTTAACAAGTGATCCAGAAGAATTTGACATAAATCAAAATGTTGCTACAAACAGAACCATTAGACAGAGTAGTTCATTGTCAGATGAGTTAACAACTCACATGACATTCCCTCCAGCAGCTCCTTATAATGTTTCAAGATTGAATGTGTGTTCAAATGCTTTATCCCCAGAGGCTCTCAAACCACTGATAGAACATTCAACAACAATTTTCAAACATAGACATAAGTAAAATTCACAATTATTTATTCTCCCCAAGGGTGACTGGGGAATAGAAATATTGTCACTTGGTCTTCTTCCGACCGGCAGTAAAACGCTTGCCAAAGTGGGGCGTCCGTTTGGCTGTGAGGGATGTATCGAGTTTGCAGTCACGTCCGGTCATAATGGGGACGTTAAATCCGATGCCTCGTGTAAAGAGAATGCCACGCTCTTTGCACGTTAAGAACCCTTGCAACAACTCTTTGAGGGGTCCGTAGGTGGCCTGTTGCAAGGCAAAATTTTTGTCCCTATCCAATATACCCTCATTTTTCAGTGGCATCCTAGATGTCCTATTGTATTTATTGTTAACTTGTTATCGTCCTGAACACGCATGCAATATTTGCCACTGGACGTTAAGCAACCAACAATCAAGCATGAACCAGTGTAGAGTGAAAATAATCAAATACTTTAAGGAAAAATTAAAGAAAAAAAGTCAAATAAAAGAAAATATCTTGCAGCGATGAAGGTTATGAAAAAGTATAAACTTTCAAGAAGAACATCTTTACGATAAGATGTGCAACCTTCAGATATTTCGCGGTGTCGTGAAGATGATGCGATAAGAGCTACAAGAAGTGATGCTTTGGTTCTTTTTTAACCAACCAAATGTGTCCACAACTTTACCAGATCAAAAATCAGTATTGAAAGATGGGAATGAAAAAAAAGGTATTAAATAGACCACTGGTAGATTCGTACAACGATTTCAAAGTTGACCATCCTGAGGTGGAAATAGCTTTTTCCACCTTTGCTGCAAATAGACCATCTGATATAGGAACATCGAAAAAAAAGCAGTTGTACAGCGGTTTGTGCAAATGTTGCACACATATAGATTTAAAGCTTAGATCCCTCAATACATTTGCAACAAAAGTAAAAAAAACAAGAAATAAAGTTACGTGACAAATATGATGCAGTAAGTATCACTTTGTGCAACAAAGGTGAAAATCAGTTTCATTAACTCAAGTGTATTAAACGTGGATGTAATGACTGCCAGACAGATCTTTTCATGGTCCATTTACAGCCTTTACTTCAGGACTATGGCACCCAAATTGTTGAGTACACCAGATGGGAAACTTCTAAAATGCGTAATAAGCATGGAAAAGATGTATCAAGGGTTCTGATGGTAAAACATATAAAAAGGCTTCAAGATATGGTATTGGAAACAATGACTGAGTTATTAAAACTCTCCAGACATCTTTTCAATTCAATTACAATTCAGCACTATTATCAAAGATATACCCGTAAATTGGGTTATTTCGAATCTTGACTTTGCGGAAAATTATGCTTGTGTAAGTCAGACGAAGATACAAACTGCACATTGGTATCATCAACAAGTAACGATTCACCCCATTGTAGCGTATTGCAATTGTCATCAATGCCAAGAAACAGTTCAAGAGACTTAGTTATTCATCAGTGATGACTTAATGCATGATGACCATGCTGTCCATAAGTTTGTATCTATGACAAACGAACACTTACAACAGAAAAGAATGATCAACATTCAGCATGAAATTCAGTTTTCCGATGGCTTCTCAAGTCTATACAAGTCGTTTAACCCATTGTGTGATATTTCCTATTCGCTCCAGGATTATGGCTTTATAATTGAGAGACATTTTTATGGATCTAGGCACGGGAAAGGGCCCTGTGATAGGGCAGGGGCTGTCTAAAATATATGGCAAGAATATCTAACACAGAAATTAATCCGTTGTTATATGATGCATATTGCACAACCAAACCGTTGGATGAAACAGGAACCTATTCTTGGTATACCTTTGTAAAAAATAAAACTGATGAAAACAATTTAAAACTATCTGATATTGAAAATATTGACTTTATAAAAGAAAAATATAAAATGAATATACACATGAAAGAGATTATGCAAGAAAATTATAAAAAGATGTTCTTTAAAAATATTTATCTATAGTAAATTTAAAAAGAAATATGAAACTGAGCCTTATTTACTAAAAGAAAATAACTTTGAAACCAAGAATAAAAATTTACTAAATTAAGGCTTAGTGACCATATTTTGGAACTTGAAAGGGGCAGATACAAAAAAATAAAAAGAGAAGAACGTTTATGTAAACATTGTTGTCTAAATAAAATAGATGACGAAGAACATTTTTTATTTACATGTACAAAAAATGAAGATTTCAGATTTGAATTTTTACAGAAAGTTAAAAATATCTATTCTGATAAAGATTGATTGATTGTTGGTTGCTTAACGTCCAATGGCAAATATTTCATGCATATTCAAGACGAGAACAAATTAACAATAAATACAATAGGTAGGTTCTGTAGTAAAGGCGTCTGGGATTGAGGTCGGAAAAATTTAGACTGCCACGGGAAATGAGGGTATATTGGATAGGGACAGAAATTTAGCCTTGCAACAGGTCACCTACGTACCCCTCAAAGGGTTGTTGGACGGGTTCTTAACGTGCAAAGAGCGTGGCACTCTCTTAACACGAGGCATCGGATTTAACGTCCCAATTCTGACCGGACGTGGCTGCAAATTTGTACATCCCGCACAGCCAAACGGACGCCCCACTTTGGCAAGGGTGTTACTGCCGGTCGGAGGATTGATTGATTGTTGGTTGCTTAACGTCCAGTGGCAAATATTTCATGCATATTCAGGACGAGAACAAGTTCACAATAAATACAATAGATAGGTTCTGTAATACATTAAGGGATTAAGGTCGGAGAAATTTAGACTGCCACGGGAAATGAGGGTATATTGGATAGGGACAGAAATTTAGCCTTGCAACAGGTCACCTACGGACCCCCCAAAGAGTTGTTGCAAGGGTTCTTAACGTGCAAAGAGCGCGGCACTCTCTTTAAACGAGGCATCGGATTTAACGTCCCCATTCTGACCGGACGTGGCTGCAAATTTGTACATCCCGCACAGCCAAACGGACGCCCCACTTTAGCACAGGTTTTACTGCCGGTCGGAGGAAGACCAATGGTGACCATACTTCTATTCCCCAGTCACCCTTGGGGGTCCGGTCGGAGGAAGACCAATGGTGATCATACTTCTATTCTTCAGTCACCCTTGGGGGTATTCTGATATAGAAAGTATAGATAATTTTGATAAATTGGTTTTATGTCTTTCGTGTCCGTCAATTATGCAGTATGCTGCTCCATTTGTTAAAAAGTCATGGTCACTGAGGAGGGTGGACTCAACAACTGTATGCTAGATATATATGTATATAATGTTTTGTTCTTTTATTGTTTTTTAGGATGTATTGTATTAACTTGTTGATTATGTATGCCTTCAACCCCATTGGGGTATAAATGTGCATTATTCAAAATATTATAATTTCAAACGCTCGAAGTCAAAACTCAAAATGTATTACTGAAGTTAAATCCCGAAAGAAAGATCTGTTTGATAATATTCTGGAAACAATAAGACAGATGCAAATCAATGTGTCAAACAGGCAAGCTAAGCAGACTGAGGAGATGAAGAAAGCACTTAATATTTTTGCAAATCATGGAATTTGGATTGATTGTTGGTTGCTTAACGTCCAGTGGCAAATATTTCATGCATATTCAGGACGAAAACAAATTAACAATAAATACAATAGGTGGGTTCTGTAAGAGGGGCGTCCAGGATTAAGGTCGGAGAAATTTAGACTGCCACGGGAATTGAGGGTATACTAGATAGGGACGGAATTTAGCATTTCAACAGTTCACCTACGGACCCCTCAAAGAGTTATTGCAAGGGTTCTTAACGTGCAAAGAGCGTGGCACTCTCTTTACACGAGACATCGGATTTAACGTCCCCATTCTGACCGGACGTGGCTGCAAATTTGTACATCCCGCACAGCCAAACGGACGCCCCACTTTGGCAAGGGTTTTACTGCCGGTCGGAGGAAGACCAATGGTGACTTTAATTCTATTCCCCAGTCACTCTTGGGGTCATGGAATTTGGAACAATCAAATTAAAATAACTGAAGAATTAGAAAAAATGATAAAAAAGGACAAAATATCTATACTTAAAGGGCAAATATCAATGAGCAAAAAATTATTTCCCGTGGATTCCACTCAGAAACATCTATTACAATTTAGTAGTAAGGGATACAATTTGATGTCACTCAACTTAGCAAAAATTTACTCCATTTCATCCAAAACCAGCAAATTATTCCGTCACCATCAACACAGTGTAGCAAAACTAAAATAGACATTTTCAAAAACCTGAGTCACTAGTTGGAAAAAATTTTAAACACATTTTGACAGACAACGGAAAAGATGAAGAGTGGCATGGACCAATTCATTCCTGTAATTCAGGAATATTTGAGGTTATGAAAATTAATAAATTTAATGACAGTTTATTATTGGATGACTAATAATTATGTTAAAACTAAGATATTTCACTGCATTTTCTCCGTTTCAATTTTCATCTGAAAACTTCTCAACTTTATTTTGACCTATTCAACTAACCAGTCGTACTTTTTGGTCACTATGTCGACATTTTACTGTATCCCTTTTCCATGATAATTCTCCTTTTCACACAATTAACTAAATCAAAGACACATTTTAAGGACCAATATTTTTCCCCAAAATATTCATTATAACCTAAGTAGTGTGTGCTAAACCAACGCTACCAAATCTGCATGCTGATTGTAAGTTTATTAATGTTCACAATTTATTGGTTGCTTGTAGGTTTATGCACTGGATACATGAAGTTATTGGTATACGTAATTAATTAAGTTTAGTTATACACATGTATTATGTGTAAATTAGGCTGCAGCTAGTTCATACACAATAATGTATAGTTTAGCGAAATATACGCCACTATACACACTAAATTAGAGATGCACCACAATAAATTGACTTATATAGTGGGGATCATTTTTTTAAATTGATAAGCCCGAGCGTCAAGAATAAAACCACAAATACTAGACTATCATATGTGTATAGGTTTAACAATATGTTAACACTAATTGTCATCATGCTTATATTTACATGATATGTTGCCTCAGTACTTTTGAAATATAAGGATTTCATATTATTACAACGTTTTGCTGATATCATTTTTTTTATTTTTCAGGTACAAAACAATGACATAGAAGCCAATAATAACAAATCAGATTTATAAGACTTAACGACTGAAGAAATTCAAACTGATTACACTGCTGGTTTTTAAGCTCACCTGACCTGAAAGGTTAAGTGAGCTTTTCTCATCACTTCGCGTCCGTCGTCGTCTGTTAACTTTCACACAAATCTTCTCCTCTGAAACTACTGGGCCAAATTTAACCAAACTTTGCCACAATCATCACTAGGGTATCATTTTTCAAAATGTGTCCGATGAGCCCGCCTTTCAACCAACATGGCCGACATGGCTAAAAATAGAATATAGGGGAACAATGCAGTTTTTGGCTTATATCTCTGAAACTAAAGCATTTAGAGAAAAATGTTGATCAGGTTAAGATCTATCCGCCCTGAAATTTTCAGACTCGTTGTTGGGTTGCTACCCCTGAATTGGTAATTTTAAGGAAATTTTGCAGTTTTTGGTTATTATCTTGAATATTATTATAGATAGAGATAAACTGTAAACAGCAATAATGTTCAGCGAAGTAAGATCTACAAATAAGTCAAACATGACCAAAATTGTCAGTCGACCCCCCTTTAGAAGTTATTGCCCTTTATAGTAAATTTTTAACAATTTTTTGTAAATTTATGTTATCTTTAACAAAAATCTTCTTCTCTGTGCTTCTTGAATATTATTATAGATAGATATAACTTTTTTACAGCAATAATGATCAGCGAAGTAAGATCTACAAATAAGTCAACATGACCAAAAATGTCAGTCGACCCCTTAAGGAGTTATTGCCTTTTATAGTAAATTTTTAACATTTTTTTTTTAAATTTATGTAATCTTTTACAAAAATCATCTTCTCTGAAACTACTAAGGCAAATTTAACCAAACTTGGCAATAAGCATCATTAGGGTATCTAGTGTAAAACATGTGCCTGATGACCACTTTCTAACTAACATGGCTAAAAATAGAACATAGGGGTAAAATGCAGTTTTTGTCTTATATCTCTGAAACTAAAGCATTTAGAGCAAATCTGTCAGTGTAAAAATGTTGATCAGATTAAGATCTATCCGCTCTGAAATTTTCAGACGAATCAGACAACCCGTTGTTGGGTTGCTGCCCTTGAATTTGGTATTTTTTAAGGAAGTTTTGCAGTTTTTGGTTATTATCTTGAATATTATTATAGATAAAGATAAACTGTAAACAGCAATAATGTTAAGCGAAGTAAGATCTACAAATAAGTCACATCACCAAAATTGTCAGTCGACCCCTTTAAGAGTTATTTCCCTTTATAGTCAATTTTTAACAATTTTTTTTGTAAATTTATGTAATCTGAGACAAATTTAACCAAACTTGGCAATAGTCATCATTAGGGTATCTAGTTTAAATATATGTGCCCGCCTTCCAACCAACATGCCCCCCAAGGGTGACTGGGGAATAGAAGTATGGTCAGCATTGGTCTTCCTCCGACCGGCAGTAAAACCCGTGCTAAAGTGGGGCGTCCGTTTGGCTGTGCGGGATGTACAAATTTGCAGCCACGTCCGGTCAGAATGGGGACGTTAAATCCGATGCCTCGTGTAAAGAGAGTGCCACGCTCTTTGCACGTTAAGAACCCTTGCAACAACTCTTTGAGGGGTCCGTAGGTGACCTGTTGCAAGGCTAAATTTCTGTCCCTATCCAATATACCCTCATTTCCCGTGGCAGTCTAAATTTCTCCGACCTTAATCCCTTAATCTATTACAGAACCTACCTATTGTAAACTTGTTCTCGTCCTGAATATGCATGAAATATTTGCCACTGGACGTTAAGCAACCAACAATCAATCAATCAATCCAACCAACATGGCCGACATGGCTAAAAATGGAACATAGGGGTAAAATGCAGTTTGTGGTTTCTAATCTCTGAAACTAAAGCATTTACAGCAAATCTGACAGGTGGCAAAAATGTTTATCAGATTTAAATTTATTTGCCCTGAAATCTTCAGACGAATCCGAAATCCTTTGTTGGGATGCTGCCCCTGAGTCCTTTCTTGAGCGATAGATGTTAGTACATATGTTCCAACACAGAAAAAAAAACAATCTCGATATTGTCCGTAGTGGAATATGGCCAGCTACGGACTCACCAAAGAGTTGTTGCAAGGGTTCTTTACGTGCTAAGATCGTGGTACTCTCTTTACACGATTTCCAAAGCACAGTAAATACAGGTGAGAAAAGCTCACTTGGCCCTGGAGGCCAGGTGAGCTAAAAAGTCCCTAGTGTAAACAGTGTATAACCTGTATTTTTTTCTTACACTTCCAAATTTTATCTCTTGATATTTCATGCATAGATATATTTTGTTAATAAACTTATGTTCATTGCTTTTTTCAGCAATTAAAGATCATAAAAAGCGTCAGCAGGTACCATATTTTGACCTGCTCAATGGTAACCTAACTGTAATTATTATTGGAATGTCAGGAGGCATAGATTTCAAGGATCCTAGCAATTACAGTAAATGCCAACTTCGCAAGATTGCTGATAATGTTGACCATATAGATATAAGGTACTTTAAAAAAAATAATTAAACATTCTATTAGACAGCAAATGGGAATGTTGCCAATTGAAAGACTACAGCATTCACCTGCGTTTTATTATCGTACTGTTGATTTGTTTGGGCCGTTTATTACTCGAGATACTACAGACTTGGTTCCATATTCAGTCGGTGTGTTACATCAAAAGCCTAGCATTGGAGGGTTATGTCCAGTATCGTCCATTTCCTGTTGCCGTCGCTTCAGGATGATGTTTATAGAAAAAGCAAGAAGGAGGATAACCTCAGCCTTGAATATGAATGCTGAACAAAAACCAATCTTTTGGACGAAGGCATTTGTTGAAAGCGTTTTTAAATCACCAGTAGCTGTGAACCAGTCCTGCTGTTTTTACGATCTGGCGAATGTGGTAGCCAAACAAGATGATCGTTTGAACAAACTAATTCAATCGACATGGAAGCTGTATACATGATGGTGTATAACATGGTGTTAAAAAAAGGAAAAGAATGATTGAGGACCATCAGAAGATTTGTTTCTAGAACAAACAAACATGACCGAGCGCATGTGAATAAAATGAGGTGCTTAGATAAACAGCCACATTCGTTTTCAACATTCAAAATTTGTTTTTTTTTTATAAATGTTTTTTCAATTTTTTTTCAATAATTGATTTCAACATTTAACATTCGTTTTCAACATTTAACCTTCAATTTCAACATTCGATTTCAAAATTCATTTTTCTTTAATATTTTATATTCAACATTCAACAATTGATTCTAATTTAACATTCAGCATGTATTTTTCAACAATGTCCGTTTTCAAATTCTATTTATACATTTGATATAAACATTCAACATTCGTAATCAACATCCAACAATCGTTTTCATCATTCTTTATTTTTCTACATTCAACATTTGTTTTAAATAATCAACATTCGATTTTAACATCCGACATTCGTTTTTCAACATTCAACATTCGATTTAAACATTCAAGATTCTATTTACACATATAGATATCAACATTTAACATTCGTAAACAAACTTCAATTTTAATATACGTTTTCAGCAATCGACTTTCGATTTCAATTCAAAATTCATCACAAAATATTTATTTTCAACATTCGTTTTCGACAATTAACATTCGAATGCATCTGTAGGTATCGGTAATTATTTGATGGTTTCACATTTATGGAAAATGTAACAACATGTGAACATTGAGCACAGCAGTTCAGAATAATGAACAAAAATATATCGATGAATATTAAACCTTTTTATCTGTAACTTATTTCAGTTTTTTTTATACAAAGAACAGACTAAATTCGTGAGATCCTGCGCTGTCATGTTGAATTGTGAACAAAACTGCCTTTAAAACAATGATGTCCAAAGGGGTGCAACAAGGAGTGCTCAATGAGGAGGAATGCACCGTGTCCCAACAAGGGGACAAGGTGAAAACCTGAAAAGTATACACTGTAATATATTTTAAATGTCATGTGCTTTATGTTTGGTCCAAATGTTCAGTTTGAAAATGACGGTTTTATGACATGAACAAAAAACAGTTCTAGATTTATCGATTATTTCATAAATTATTCTATATAGCACACATTTTATTCAATTAATATGTTTTT